GTGTCAAGAGGGAGTACTGATGTCTGTCTTTCCTAATAAGGCCACCGTGGTCCATGGTGGTCCGTGGTCATGGGGCTCCACCCAGTCACCTAATCCAATCTAAATACTTCTCTAAACACCTTAATTGGTTTAACTTTCCACTCTGTTAGTACCATTAGTGTAAGATTTAGGGAGCCAAAGGCCTTTGGAAGATACTCAACTTAATACCCAAACCATAGTGGTCACATGGGGAATGTCATTGACTGAAACACTGTTGTGCTCTGCATGGCTGTGTTCCACTCTATCCCCTTCTCCCATTCCCCTTGCCTCCATCCTCTATAGTAATCTTCCATCCTCTGATGATCCTCCATCCTCTTGTCTCATGTGTCCTCAAATCCCTACTCTTACCCTGTCTCTACTTTTAGTCCCCTACAGCAGTTTCAACACTATTAACATGATTTTTTTTAAAAATGTATCAACAGGGGCAAGCATTATGGCACAGTGGTTTAAATCATTAATTGGGGCATCTGCATCCCATATCTGAGTGCTGGCTCAAGTCCTGATCACTCCGCTCTGATCCTGCTTCTTGCTAATGCTCCTAGGAAGCAGCGGATTTTGACTCAAGTACTTGAGTTCCTGCCACCCACATGGGAAACCCAGAATAGAGTTCCTGGCTCCTGGCTTTGGCCTGGCCCAGCCTTGGCTATTGTAACCATTTGGGGAGTGAAACACTGGATGGAAGATCTCTGTCTTTCTCTTCTCTCTCTCTCCCACTCTACTTTCCAAATATATAAATTATTTGATTTTTAATAAATTTTTATCAAAGCAACAAATACATTAAGAAATAAAATAGTGTTGAAAAGTCTGTAGGGGCCGGCACTGTGGTGCAGCAGGTTAACGCCACGGCCTGAGGCACCGGCATCCCATATGGGCACCGGTTTGAGACCTGGCTGCTCCACTTCTGATCCCACTCTCTTCTGTAGCCTGGGAAAGCAGTAGAAGATGGCCCAGGACTTGGGCCCTTGCACCCGCGTGGGAGACCCTGAAGAAGCCCTGGCTCCTGGCTTTAGATTGGCGCAGCTCCGGCCATTGTGGCCAACTGGGGAGTGAACCATCGGATGGAAGACCTCTCTCTCTCCCTCTCCCTCTCCCCACCCCCTCTCTCCTTCCCTCTCCTCTCTCTGTGTAACTCTGACTTCCAAATAAATAAATAGGCCGGCGCCACGGCTCACTAGGCTAATCCTCCACCTGTGGCTCCGGCACACCAGGTTCTAGTCCCGGTTGGGGCACCGGATTCTGTCCCAGTTGCCCCTCTTCCAGGCCAGCTCTCTGCTGTGGCCCAGGAGTGCAGTGGAGGATGGCCCAAGTGCTTGGGCCCTGCACCCCATGGGAGACCGGGAGAAGCACCTGGCTCCTGCCATCGGATCAGCGCGGTGCGTCGGCTGCAGCGTGCCGGCTGTGGTGGCCATTGGAGGGTGAACCAATGGCAAAAGGAAGACCTTTCTCTCTCTCTCTCTCTCTCTCACTGTCCACTCGGCCTGTCAAAAAAAAAAAAAATCTTTTTTTTTTTTAAAGTCTATGATAAGAAACAGTTCCTATTTTGCGCTCCCCAACCCACACCTTTTCAACTATTAGCTATTTTTCTTTTTTTGGTCTTTATTTCTATATTTCCAAGTAGCAAGCATTAACCTATATCTTTGATGTAGCAATCATTTATTAATGAAAATTTTATCCTTTTCCTCAATACTTCCTTTCCAACTGTACCTAATAAAGTTACTGCATATTTTGTTGAATGAATTGATATTTACTTTATTTTAGCCATTCAAATACAGTGTGTTCCTAAGCCAAGTAATAAGCTGACATGGTGTTTTGTATATATAACTTTTCTTTCTGGAGTTAACTGCACACTCTTTTTCGTTTGTTTAGTTTCCTTGAGACTAAGCTTCTATTCTTTCTGTACCCTCTAACCTCTCAGTATGATTTCCTATAAAACCTTTCCGGCACTTAATTTTTTCTTTTTCTTTTTTTTTTTTAACTTTTATTTAAGTAGATATAAATTTCCAAAGTACAGTTTATGGATTACAATGCCCCGCCATAACTTCCCTCCCACCTGCAACCCTCCTATCTCCCGCTCCCTCTCCCATTCCATTCACATCAAGATTCATTTTCGATTATCTTTATATACAGAAGATCAATTTAGTATATATTAAATAAAGATTTCATCAGTTTGCCCCCACATAGAACACAAAGTGCCAAATACTGTTTGAGCACTAGTCATATCATTAATTCACATTGAACTACACATTAAAGACAGAGGTCCTACATGGGAAGTAAGTGCACAGTGACTCCTGTTGTTAACTTTGTCGCTCCCCCTCTTCACGGAGGAACGACACTAAACCCTGCCTAGGCTTCATATCCGAGTCACAGCACCATTATGTCGTTCCCCCTCTTCATGGAGGAACGACACAGGACCCTGCGCTGTTCTTTTGTCTGCTCGGCCCTCCCCGGGTTTGCTGCTGGTTCTTCCCGGGTTGGCTACTATCCCTTCCACCTCCGTGGAAGGGCGGTTCCCCCTGCCACCTTCCCCACTTCCGCAGGGGAGCGGCACACCGCCGGCCGGCTCTCTCAGGGGCTGCACAGGTGTTCCTTCAGATGTTCCTCCTAGATGTTCCTGGTGCATGTTGTCTCTCTCCTCCTTTATAGTCCTCTTCCACTAATTCCAACTCGGCTGCCCACACGCCGAGTACGCTGCTCTCCTCCAATCAGGAGCAGGTCCTGCTGTTTATTGGTTGAACTGGAGGCAGCTGTATAGAAGCTGTTTTCTCCTCTTCCAGCGCCATATTGTGGGAGAGCAGATGCATAGAATAAGTCTTAATTCCAGTAACTTAGTCTAGTCCGAGTTGCTCCCCACAAACTTAACAAATTGACACTCTTGTTTAAGGCGTCAGCAATCTCCCCAGGCTCTAGTCATGAGTTGCCAAGACTATGGAAGCCCCCTGAGCTCACCGACTTTGATCTTATTTCGACAAGGCCATAGTCAAAGTGGAAGTTCTCTCCTCCGTTCTTTCTTTTCTTTTCTTTTTCTTTTTTTTTTTTTTTGACAGGCAGAGTGGACAGTGAGGGAGAGAGAGACAGAGAGAAAGGTTTTCCTTTGCCATTGGTTCACCCTCCAATGGCTGCCGCGGCCAGTGCACCGCACTGATCTGAAGCCAGGAGCCAGGTATTTATCCTGGTCTCCCATGGGGTGCAGGGCCCAAGCACTTGGGCCATCCTCCACTGCACTCCCTGGCCACAGCAGAGAGCTGGCCTGGAAGAGGGGCAACCGGGACAGAATCCGGTGCCCCAACCGGGACTAGAACCCAGTGTGCCGGCGCCGCAAGGCGGAGGATTAGCCTAGTGAGCCATGGCGCCAGCTGGCCTGTTCTTTCCACTGGGATCTTACTCGCAGAGATCTTTCATTTAGTTGGTGGTTTTTTTTTGTTTTTTTGTTTTTTTGTTTTTTTTTCTGCCAGAGTGTCTTGGCTTTCCATGCCTAAAATACTCTCATGGGCTCTTCAGCCAGATCTGAATGCCTTAAGGGCTGATTCCAAGGCCAGAGTGCTGTTTAGGACAACTGCCATTCTATGAGTCTGCTGTGTATCCCGCTTCCCATGTTGTATTGCTCTCTCCCTTTTTTATTCTATCAGTTAGTATTAGCAGACACTAGTCTTGTTTATGTGATCCCTTTGACTCTTAGACCTATCATTATGGTCTATTGTGACCTGAAATTGATCACTTGGACTAGCTAAGACCTGGAATCAGCCCAAATGCTCATCAAAAGTAGACTGGATAAAGAAATTATGTGACATGTACTCTACAGAATACTATACAGCAGTAAAAAAACAATGAAATCCGGTCATTTGCAACAAAATGGAGGAACCTGGAACACATCATGCTGAGTGAAATAAGCCAGTCCCAGAGGGACAAATATCATATGTTCTCCTTGATTGGTGACAACTAACCGAGCGTCAAAAAGGAAACCTGATGAAGTGAAATGGACACTACGAGAAACAATGACTTGATCAACCCTTATCATCACTGTTGATGTACAGTTTAATACTATATCCCTTTTAGTATTTTTGTTTGTTCTACTTAATACCATTGGTTGAGCTATGTAATTAACACACAATTATTCTTAGGTGTTTAAAGTTAACTGAAAAGTGATCTCTGTTAAATATAAGAGTGGGAATAAGAGAGGGAGGGGATGTACAATTTGGGACATGCTCAAGCTGATTTGCCACAAGTGGTGGAGTTAGAAATATGCCAGGGGATTCCAATACAGTCCCATCAAGGTTGCATGTACCAATGCCATCTCACTAGTCCAAGTGATCAATTTCTTTTTTTTAAAGATTTATTTTATTTATTTGAAAGAGTTACAGAGAGAGGTAGGGCTGACAGAGGGGTCTAGGTTCCCTCAGACCTTCTGATTCCACTTTTTTTTTTTTTTAAGATTTATTTATTTATTTATTTGACAGGTAGAGTTACAGACTATGAGAGAGAGAGAGAAACAGAGAGAAAGGTCTTCCAACCAATGGTTCACCCCCCGAATGCCCGCAATGGCCAGAATTGCGCAGATCCGAAGCCAGGAGCCAGGTGCTTCCTCCCGGTCTCCCATGCGGGTGCAGGGGCCCAAGAACTTGGGCCATCTTCCACTGCCCTCCAGGGTCACTGCAGAGAGCCGGACTGGAAGAGGAGTAACTGGGACTAGAACCCCGTGCCCATATGGAGTGCCAGCGCCGCAGGTGGAGGATTAACATAGTGCGCCACAGCGCCGGCCCCCTGGGTCCACATTCTTAGCAAATTGCTTCCATCCTTGGGGGTCACAGGATGGTTGCTGAAACCCACACATTCCTGGGTGGAAGGAGGGAGTAGAGTAACATGAAGTGACACGTTTACTACATGCTATCTCTTTTTTTTCCCCCCTTTTTACAAAATTTTATTTGTAAATGTACAACAGGCTCCAAGTTAACACTTAACTCTTAACACTTCATTCTAACTACGGGTGGCATAAGATGTTACGGCCGGGAATCGAGATGTTTAGCTAGGAATGCAATCAAGGGCGTCATCACTTCAGGCACAAGGAACAGCTTACTTTTTGCCAGATTTCTTAATTCCACCTGTGGCCAGGGGGCCCTTCCCTGCCGCCTTCGCTTTTAGCTCCTTGAGTTTCTTCTGCTCCTCTTTCTGTTTTTGCTTGAAAGCCTTATCTTCCTCATCCATCTCCTTGGCCTGCTTCTTGGGCTGTTTCAGGGGCTTCTTCTTGCCACCTTCCCGGCCGGACATGGCGCCTGCCGCCCCTTCCCCAGACCCTGCCACCGGAAAACCTACATGCTATCTCTTAATAAGCATTCTTTGAGGGGCCGGCACTGTGGTGTAGTAGGAAAAGCTGCTGCCTGCTGTGCCGGCATCTCTTATGGGTACCGGTTTGAGTTCCAGCTAGTTCACTTCCGATCCAGCTCTCTGCTATGGCCTGGGAAAGCAGCAGAGGATGGCCCAAGACCTTGGCTCCCTGCACCCATGTGGGAGACCTGGAAGAAGCTCCTGGCTTCTGATAGGCCCAGCTCTGGCCATTGCGGCCATTTGAGGAATGAACCAGCAGATGGAAGACCTCTCTCTCTGCGTCTGCTTCTCTGTAACTCTGCCTTTCAAATAAATAAATAAATGTTATTTTTTTAAAAAAAGCATTCTGGAGTCCCACCTGGCAACCTCCCCTTACATCTCATTAGTCACCCTGAAATCCAAGGGAGTGGCGGCAGTGCCCTAGCTCAACCAGAATTTGTCAGCCTTTGGTTACTACAGTGACATACCTGAGACAAGCTTCCGGTGAAAGAAAGACAAAGATTTGCTGGGGTGTAATGGTTCTGGAGGTCCACATGCAGATGCCATGAAGGTATCCTATTTTTTTTAATAGACGTATTTATTATTCAAATAAGTAATTATTTGAAAGGCACAGTTAAGAGGGAGGGGGGAGAGACATAACGACAGAGAGACAGAGTGAAATCTTCCATCTGCTGGTTTACTCCCCAAATGTCCTCAATGGCCAGGACCGAGCCAGACTGAAGCCAGGAGCCTGGAACTCCATCATGGTCTCCCCACGTGGGTGGCGAGGACCCAAGTACTTGGGCTGTCTTTCCCTGCTTTCCCAGGCGTAGTAGCAGGGAGCTGGATTGAAAGCAGAGCAGCCAGGATTCAAATCGGTTCTCATATAGGATGCTGATGTCACAGGCAGACGCTTCACCCATGGTGGTACAACACTGGTCCCATTAGTGGCATTCCTGCTGGCAGATTCCCGGAGCCATCACGTGGCTGGTAGGAGGCTGTGTCTGTCTATGTCCCTGTGGTCTGTTACAAAGCCACCAGGATTTAATCATGGGGCTTTACTCTACAGGCCTAGTGCAGCCCCTTTCCCAAAGGCCCTACCATCAAACATTATCATTAGATTAAGTTTCCACCCTCTTAGTACCATTGTGTACAGCGGAGGAGGATCTTCCTCTGTGCCCTTTGTTGTGTTGTAAGCTACTCATGCAGAATAGAGCTAACAGGGAAGGCCTGAGAGGGCTCTCCAGACAAGGGTCTGCTGGCCAGGTGGGTCCTTAGCTAACATTTTGGAATCTGGATTTCTGCAGGGTCCCCACCATGCTCCAGCTGACAAGGCTGAGCTGCGGCTCAATTGTTGGTTAGGAAAGAACGAGGCTGATGCTGAATACTTGGCTTTCTTTTGGGAGCCTGAAATGTTGGTACATGCTCAAGAGAGGGTATCTACATACATAATCCCCAGTAAAGCCTTGGACACTGGGTCTCTAATCACCTACCTACCCTGGCGGTCTACTCTTTGAAAGGGGTGTCACAGTTCTGTGTGGGAGGAACACAGCATGTCCTATACAGCTTGGACTTTGCCCCAAACCCCTTTTGTTTTTGATGATACTGCTTTGTATCCTTTATTAAAGTAAGTCATAGACATGTGGATAACTATGTGCTGAGTTCCATGAGTTGCCTTAAGCAAGTCACTGACTCTGGGCGTGGTCTCAGGTGCCCTGGACACACTCTCCAGGCCAAGTGCATCTCACTATGGAATGAGATGGCTGCTGTAGTTTCGCTACATAGGTGAAGCATAGAGGCTGGGGATTGTCAAAATATATTTTTCAAAAGTTAAAAACGTGAATCTAATACAAACAGAGAATGAGCAAATATCAAATATTTGTTCAACTCATTACCGAGAAAGCCTGCAGGATGGCAAAGCTGGTTCAAAGAACAAAGGAGCAGGGATTATTTAGGCATCGGAGAAAGAAAGGGCAGAATTAGATCTCCAGCTAATGTCCACAAGTGAGTTGAATTCCTAAACTGCTATTATCATTTTCTCAGTGGAAAAATCATTTCTTCATCAGACAACCTTGATGTCATCTAAGTGTCCAGAACTGTGAGTGAACAAACAACCCTCTTTACTTATTTGAAAGGCAAAATTACAGAGACAGAGACAGAGGGAGACACAGAGATTTTCCATCTGCCGGTTCACTCCTCAAACAGCCGCAACAGCTGGAACCAGGCCAACCCGAAGCCAGGAGCCAGGAACTTCTTCCTAGTCTCCCACATGGGTGGCAGGGGCCCAAGTACTTGGGCAATCTTCTGCTGCTTTCCCAGGCACATTAGTGGGGAGCTGGATGGGAAATGGAGCAGCTCGGACTCCAACCTGCGCCCATATGGGATGCTGGCACTGCAGGCGGTGTTTTTACCTGCAGTGCGGGCCCCAGCCCTCTTTTCTTTGATGTGACCAGTCCCAGGTGATTTGTCATAGCAACGGAACATGGACTGCTACAATTTTGCTTTGACTCCAGGAAACAAATGGGAACATTTATTTAAATAGCAATAACCTGAGGGCTGTAATAGGGAGGGTTGGGGGAGGGTGTTATTCTAAAACCAACTGGTATATTACAATTCAGTTAATGGCACTAATCCTCTGATCCCACAAATTTAAAGGCACAGTCTCCCCAAAAGACTGCCCTTATTTCAGAAGCCAGCCACACATGGGTATCCCCCAGTCCACCTGTACTTCTGATCAACTGGCTACAAATCTGGAAGCTTTTGTGACTCCCTCCGGGATCACGATTCATTAGATTGACCCACTAGATTCAGGGAAATACTCGCACAGTTTTATGATTAACGGGGAGAAAGCAGGAGCAGCGAAGGAAGAGACACACCAGGCAAGGTCTGTAAGAGTGGCAAACACCAAGCTCCTGTGTCTCCCCCTACCCTAGGACTCTGAGCAGGACACTGAGCCGTTCACCAGGCGCCTCTACAGAAGCTTCACTCTCCAGAGTTCTGGCTGGGGCTTCATCATGTGGCACGAATGATTGAATCGTTAACCATGAGGATGAATTCAATCTCTAGCACTCCTCCCCTCCTGTATTGTGGAACTGGCTCAAAGCAATATCCCGGTGTGGGCACTGCGCATGGGGGTTAGATGCCACTTGGGATGTGTGCATGCCATATCAGAGGGTCTGGGTTTGAGTCTTACCATTGAGGTTTCCTGATAATGTGCTTTCTGGAAAGCAGCAGGTGATGTTGAAGTACTTAGGTCCCTAGCATCAATGCAGGAGACTTAGGATTGAGTTCCTGGTTCCTGGCTTTGGCCTGGCCTAACTGCAGCTGTTCGGGGCTTTTGGGGAATGCACCAGTGGATGGAAGATCTCTGTCTCTCTGCTTCTCAAATAAAGTACGTAAATTAAAAAAAAAAAGTAAATGAAAATCTCCAAGTCTCTGTGATCCCATGATTGGTCTTTCTGGTCACCTGCTCCCAGTCTGAATTGTCCCATCTGTATACATTCAGGTGTGACCAAGGTACTGATGAATAACAAAGACACTCCTGTTGTCACAGCACTTGAAACAGAACCTGGGCTCCCTTGTCTAAGGCACAGTGAGCCCATCGATGACGCAGGGGTGGTAGATGACAGTGGGTGTTTGTTTTGCAGTGTGTGGCGCTAGGAGTCAGTCAGCTATGGCTCAATCCCCAAACTCCCCCCGGGGTATTTCACTGATTCAAGTTGGGGCTGAGCCGTGCGTGATGAGCTCGTGTGCGGGTCTCTGGTCCACAGTGCTCAGGGCCTTCCTTGGATTGCTCAGCAAGAGGAAGCTGGCCTCTTCTTCAGAAGATGCTATTGTGGCAAAGTGAGCTGTCTGGGGTCCAAGGGTAGATGGGTTATTATTTTGTTTGAACAGGGCTGGGAGTTCCTGTGTAGCATCTCAAAATGAATCTGACATTAGGATGGTAAGTACAGTGGTGACTAGTGAATTCTGAGTCTTGTGATCCCAGGTCCATGGGGCCAGCCTGAGCTATGCACCAATCCCTTTATTTTTTTTAATTAAATAAAAAAAATTTCTCAGAGGCAGAGCTATCTATGTCTGTATAGCTTTGCACATCCATCTATCCATTTATATCCATTTTCTACCTATATCTATATATTTATCTGTATCTGTCTATCATCTATTGACAGAGATAGCAAGCTCCCATCTTTTAGTTTGGCCCACAAATGCCCACTTGGCCCTGGGCTCGGTGGAGCCCAAGCCGAGGGCCCAGAACTCAGTCCAAGTCTTTCATGGTAGCAGCAGAATCCCAACTACTTGATCATCACCACTTCCTCCCGGGATCAGGTAATCTGATAGGAACCTGGGCATCCTAGCCAGCACCTTAACCCCTAAGCCAAATGCCCATCCCCGCTCCCTTACTTCAGTGAGATAATCTTTAGTTAGGAGCTAACCTGTCATCATCAAAGGGAAGACAGAGGAACTGCCAGTTTCAGGGAGAGAGAGTATAGGAACTACATCAAAGGTATTAGGGATGGAAGCTGTTTCACTTTTTAAAAAAATTTTTAAATGCTTTATTTATTTAAATTTGAGAAGTAGAGCTATAGACTGAGAGAGGGAGAGACAGAAAGGTGTTCCATCCGCTGGTTCACTCCCCAAATGGTTGCAATAGCTGGAGCTGAGCTGATCCAAAGCTTGACAGGCAGAGTTAGACAGTGAGAGAGAGAGAGACAGAGAGAAAGTCTTCCTTTCGTTGGTTCACTCCGCTAATGGGCACTATGGCCGGCACTGCGCCGATCTGAAGCCAGGAGCCAGATGCTTCTTCCAGGTCTCCCATGCGGGTGCAGGGGCCCAAGCACTTGGACCATCCTCCATTGGCTTCCTGGGCCATAGCAGAGAGCTGGATTGGAAGTGGAGCAGCCGGGACTAGAACCAGAGCCCATATGGGATGCCAGTGCCACAGGCGAGGATTAACCTACTGTACCACAGTGCCGGCCCTCAGTTCACTTTCACTCAGGAAA